AGAAGCTGGATCCGCCATTGCCGCCCACCTTCGGGGCGCCACCCCCTCCACTCTTTGACGCTGCCTTCCCTGCCCCGCAATGGGGAATTGTCGACCTCTCTGGGCACCAGCACCTGTTTGGAACCCTGAAACGAGGAGGGCCCACGCCTGGGCCTGGGGTGGCCTCAGGTCTGGGCACTCCCACCGGGACCCCTGGGCCACTTCCCACACCTACGCAGACCCCACCTGGGCCCGCGGTAGGGGCGGCCTGCGACCCGGCCAAGGACGAGAAGGGCTACTTCCGCAGACTGAAGTACCTGATGGAGCGTCGTTTCCCTTGCGGCGTGTGCCAGAAGTCCTTCAAACAGTCCTCACATCTGGTCCAGCACATGCTGGTGCACTCTGGGGAGAGGCCGTACGAATGCGGTGTCTGTGGCCGCACCTACAACCACGTCTCCAGTCTCATCCGACACCGTCGCTGCCACAAGGACGTGCCACCAACTGCTGGGGGTCCGCCGCAGCCCGGGCCCCCGCTTCCTTCGCTGGGCCTCCCGGTACCCACAGCCAGTGCCACAGCCACCTCCGCCCCTGGCGCAGTGTCCTCTGGTCCCTCAGCCACACCTGCAGCGCCTGCCACCACCTCCACGGATGGGAATGCCACTCCCTCTGCCCCAGCCGGGGTGGCCATGCCTCCCCCCAACACTGCCGGTGGGGAGGGTCCGTTTGCCTGCCCCCTCTGCTGGAAGGTTTTCAAGAAGCCTAGCCACCTCCACCAGCACCAGATCATCCACACCGGCGAGAAGCCCTTCTCCTGCTCCGTGTGCAGCAAAAGCTTTAACCGGAGGGAGAGCCTCAAGCGGCATGTGAAGACGCACTCGGCCGACCTGCTGCGCCTGCCCTGCGGCATCTGTGGCAAGGCCTTCCGCGATGCCTCCTACCTCCTCAAGCACCAGGCGGCCCACGCAGGGGCCGGGGCCCCGCGGCCGGTGTACCCGTGCGACCTGTGCGGGAAGACCTACTCGGCACCACAGAGCCTGCTGCGGCACAAGGCCGCGCACGCGCCACCTGTGGCCACCGAGCCGGCCAAGGACGGGGCGGCCTCAGTCCCGCAGCCGCCTCCCACCTTCCCCCCGGGCCCCTACCTCCTGCCCGCGGACCCGACCACCACGGACGAGAAAGCCACCGCTGCTGCCGCGGCCGTGGTGTATGGTGCGATGCCTGTCCCGCTTCTGGGCGCGCACCCGCTGCTGCTCGGTGGTGCCGGGAACGGCGGCGCGGGCGCCGGGGGCACGGGCCCGGGCAAGACGTTCTGCTGTGGCATCTGTGGGCGGGCGTTCGGGCGCCGCGAGACCCTGAAGCGCCACGAGCGCATCCACACCGGCGAGAAGCCCCACCAGTGTCCAGTGTGCGGCAAGCGCTTCCGTGAGTCCTTCCACCTGAGCAAGCACCACGTGGTGCACACCCGGGAGCGGCCCTACAAGTGCGAGCTGTGCGGCAAGGTCTTCGGCTACCCGCAGAGCCTCACGCGCCATCGCCAGGTGCACCGGCTGCAGCTGCCCTGTGCCCTGGCTGGAGCCACGGGCCTCGGCACGGGCCAGGGGACCACGGGGGCCTGTGGACCCGGGGCTGCCGGCGCTTCGGGTGGGCCCGCCGATGGTCTGAGCTACGCCTGCTCAGACTGTGGGGAACATTTCCCGGATCTCTTTCATGTCATGAGCCACAAGGAAGCCCACATGTCAGAGAAGCCATACGGCTGTGACGCCTGCGGCAAGACCTTCGGCTTCATCGAGAACCTCATGTGGCACAAGCTGGTCCACCAGGCTGCCCCGGAGCGTCTTCTGCCGCCGACACCCAGTGCCCCCCAGTCCTCTGATAGTTCCAGCGGCGGCACCGATGCATCCAGCGTGCTGGACAACGGACTGGCTGGAGAGGTGGGGGCGGCTGTGGCCGCGCTGGCCGGGGTGTCTGGGGGCGGCGAGGATTCGGGTGGGACAACGGTGACCGGAGGGGGTGGCGGGGCCACTTCAGGCGCTGAGCGCTTCAGCTGTGCCACCTGCGGCCAGAGCTTCAAGCATTTCCTGGGTTTGGTGACTCACAAGTATGTGCACCTGGTGCGCAGGACCCTGGGTTGCGGCCTCTGCGGCCAGAGCTTTGCGGGCGCGTACGACCTGCTCCTGCACCGCCGAAGCCACCGGCAGAAGCGGGGCTTCCGCTGCCCGGTGTGTGGGAAGCGCTTCTGGGAGGCGGCCCTGCTGATGCGCCACCAGCGCTGTCACACAGAGCAGCGGCCCTACCGGTGCGGCGTGTGCGGCAGAGGCTTCCTGCGCTCCTGGTACCTGCGGCAGCACCGAGTGGTGCACACTGGCGAGCGCGCCTTCAAGTGTGGCGTGTGCGCCAAGCGCTTTGCGCAGTCCTCCAGCCTGGCGGAGCACCGGCGACTGCACGCCGTGGCTCGGCCTCAACGCTGTGGTGCCTGCGGCAAGACCTTCCGCTACCGCTCCAACCTGCTGGAGCACCAGCGGCTGCACCTGGGCGAGCGCGCCTACCGTTGCGAGCACTGCGGCAAGGGCTTCTTCTACCTGAGCTCCGTGTTGCGCCACCAGCGTGCCCATGAGCCCCCACGGCCCGAGCTGCGCTGTCCTGCCTGTCTCAAGGCCTTCAAGGATCCTGGCTACTTCCGGAAGCACCTGGCTGCCCATCAGGGCGGCAGGCCCTTCCGCTGCTCCTCCTGCGGCGAGGGGTTCGCCAACACCTACGGTCTGAAGAAACACCGCTTGATGCACAAGGCTGAGGGTCTTGGGGGCCCCGGAACGGGTGGGAGCACCTTAGCCGGGAAGGACCCCTGACCAGGGGGCTTCGATACGCCACTCGCCACTCCAATCAGATGTTCCCTTCTGAACACCTCCCCCCCCCCCTTTCTGGGGCTGCTGGTCAGACTCTCCCCGCCCCCTTTACTGTTACCCTTTCTAAAGAACTACAGCTGGTCTAGCTTCCTTCCGATCCCATGCCCTATAAATTGAAGATTAAATTGCTCCAATCCCAGGCCGTTGTGGCCCTTCGTCTTTCGTCAGTCAGACACTGAACTTGATCCTCCGTCCAGCCTTCTTTTGTGAACCTCATCTGCTACCCAGCAGCGTTTTGGCTCCAACGAGCTGTGGTGGAGATGGGTCTGAATTACCCAATGCCTCCACTTCCTTTGGGATCTGGCTGGACAGTGGACGATGAACAGAGTTGGGAGGGCACAGGTGGGGGTCTGGGTGCTCTTGGACTGGGGGGTGGGGGGAACAGACGCCGCTTGTACAGAGCAGAGAACAATAAATCGTATCAACAGGGCCGCTTGGGTCTGTGCTTGCTGTCCCTGGGGGATTCCGATGGCCAGACGGACCCACACCACCTCACTGTTCTTCATCTGGTATGAGCGAGGATTTGCCTGTGACCTGGGCAAGTGGACACAGGTAAGTAGATCTCTCAGGAACTGATAATAGAGATTCCGAGGCTCCCCTTCACGACCGGAAGCCAAGTCCCGACCTGGGCACTAGGGGAAAATGAATGGAGTGGACATGACATTCACAGTCCAGTAGACCGGGAGAGCACGTCTGTGGAACTTACCACAGTCTGCAGACTGAGACAGGATCTCATGTATTTGAGGTTGGCTATAGACTTGCTGTGGAGGTAAGAATAGCCTTGATTTTTTTTTTTTTTTTTTTTTTTTTTTTTTTTTTTGAGACAGGGTCTCTGTATGTAACCCTTGGCTGTTCTGGAACTCTGTGTAGAACAGACTGGCCTTGAACTCACTGCCTCTGCCTCCCTGGTACTGACGTTAAAGTTGTGCACCACAACTGACTAACCTTGAACTTTTTTGTATTTAGATTTTTTTTTTTTTATTTAAAGAAATTATTTGTATGGTTATTTTGACTGCATGTATTTTGTGGACCACTTGGTGCCTGGTGCCCGTGGAGGCCAGAAGAGGCCATTGGATGCTCTGGACCTAGAGCCACAGGTGGTTGTGAGCTACCATTGGGTACTGGGAGTCAAACCATGACCCTCCGGAAGAGCAGGTAGTCCTCTTTACTGCCGAGCTACCCCTCCGGCCCAAATTTTATAATTTTATTTTTATTCTCAATTTAATACATGTATGTATATGTGCACACATACACGCACGCACAGGACTCGGGTTGTGTCTATGCAACCCCACTCTGGTCTTAGCCCTTTCGCCCTCCTGCTGGCCCTGCTCTTTCCAGCAAGCTCGTCTACGTCCCTGTCTTCTATTCTCTTGGTGATCCACTGTGTGTAGTCAGGGTTGCTTGCATCAACATGAGTTGGAAGGCTTATTTACCAGAGCAAGGGCAGCTACCTTACCAATACCTGCACCCCTGAGGTCACTGTTGGAAGGTCCTACAAGAACAGATGAGAAAAAGTGCTTAACTGCTCAGTATGGGAGACTGATCAGAAAAGGCCAGGGAAGAAGGTAGCTTAAGGAACCTGTGTAGGTTTCTAGCTTCAGCGGAGGGGCTAATGAGATGGGAAGCAGTTCTTTAGAGGAAATGATGAGGTTTTTTTTTTTTTTTTTTTTTTTTTTTTTGCTTTGGCTTTGGTTTTTTTAATCACGAATACAGTGTTCTGCCTGCATGTATGCCTGCAGGTCAGAAGAGGGTACCACACCTCATTATAGAGGTTTGTGAGCCACATGTGGTTGCTGGGAATTGAACTCAGGACCTCTGAAAGAGCAGCCAGTGCTCTTAACCACTGAGCCATCTCTTCTGCCCTGGAAATGGTGAGTTTTATTTTGCATCATCTGAGGGCCATCTCTTGGGGGATGCTGGATGAACAAGGACTGAACTAGCAGCAAACACATCTTCTCCATGAGAAAGTCAAGGACTTATGAGTAAGTACACCAACCTCCAACATCCCTTCATTGCTCAAAATGTTTTACAACACAGCCTAGCCCCTCCCCATTCCAGACATAAGAAAACAGGCATAGCAAGTCCCAGAGAACTGGAAATCAAGACTGACGTAGAAGCATTTCAGAAAATCTTTTTAATAGGAACAGACTGGAAGTCCTGACTCCCACCCCAAACTCCAGTTCCCAGGTCCTTTTAAGCCCTCTACCTACCACAGTGTCTTCTCTTAGTCTACACCCTGGGCCTGCCCACAAAGGTTGCCATCAACCAACCTTTTCTCCAAATTGCCTGGACTAATCAGGAAGCTTTGTACCTCACCCCGCAATGGAGGAAAACTGAGAAATGAGAAACTTCTTTGTAGACGTGGGAGACCACAGGCTCTGAACCTAAAGCTTAAGGGGATGCCAGGTGCTTGTTCTGTTTGCTTGCAGCTTGTGCTCACAGTTGCTTCCAGAGAAGTCAGGTAGGTTAACAAGAGACCACATTGGGGAATGATAGAGAGGTGAGCAGAGCTTAGACTTAAACTCAATGGGCAGGCTCCCATCCGAGAGATTCATGAACTCCCAACTGTGCTTTAGGTACTCCATGGTTTTGAGGGAGAAGGCAGTCTAGCATCTCTTTAGAGATGGCCTGGTGGGCTTCTTCTGCCTGGGGAGGGTAGGCATCCCAGGACCAGTGCAATCCAGTTGAGGTAGGCAAAAGATTCCATATTAGTCCACCTTAGGGCAGCCCCTACATGGTCCAGAGGTAGTCTAGGATTAGACCAGAGGTGGTGGTGGATAAAGTTTTTCTTTGCATCCTGGGCTGGCCTGGACCTCACAATCCTCCTGCCTCAGCCCCCAGCGTATTGGGCTTACAGGAGAGGGCCATGCTCAGTTGGCTCCATATTTTCACATTTAGCTGGGCATCTACGGAATTGCAGGTACCTCTTCCTGAGTATCAAGTATAGTGTGGGTCTCTGGGAGAGCAGAACCTGGTTCCTTCTCACTCTCCAACCCCAGCTGCTCAGTATTTCTCCTTCGCTTTTGCCTCTATTTGTCCATCCACTTCCCCTATGACATGCTTCCTATTCCCCAGCCTACTGGTCAACCTCCACATTCACCTTCACAGTCTCTCCATGCCCTTCTTCGGTAGTGTTCTCTGTCCCACGCTTATTCCCTGATTCCTGGGCTACCGAAGATGATCTGGAGAGGCCTCCAGACTCTCCCATCCCAGGCCCCGGCCCATGGAAGTGGGTGCGCTGGTGTTTACGAAAGTTTGAGGAGTTGTTGAAAGTGCGGTTGCAGAGTGTGCAGCGGAAGGGGCGCTCGCCAGTGTGGATACGGGCATGGCCGCTCAGCACAGAGGACTGTGTGAAGCCCTTGCCACAGATGCCGCAGTGGTAGGGCCGCTCCCCGGTGTGCACACGCTCGTGATCGCGCATGTCTGAAGAGCGGCGGAAGGGCTTGGTACAGAACCTGCAGGCGAAAGGCTTGCCTACCGCGGCCCCTGCAGCTGCCGCAGCCATCACCACCTCCGACCTCTCCTGGGCCATGCCTGGGTTCGGTTGTCCAGTTGCTGCTGGAGGTGGAAGTCTTCGAGAGGTGCCTGGCTCCACCCCGTGGCGGTGTTGGTGTCGGAGCAGGGGTGCCAAGGCCTTAAAAGCCCGTGGGCAGAGTGGGCAGCGGTAAGGCCGCTCTCCTGTATGCAGGCTGTAGTGGGCACGCAGGCTAGCAGGACCTGGACAGCTGTGGCCACACACGTGACAACGGCTTGGGTCCCCACCCTGCCCAACCCCGTCCACGCCCGCCAGGTGGCCATGTTCGTGAAACAGCAGCTCTGAGACCAGGTGGAAGGCAGCGGGACACAGGGCACAGTGAAAAGATCCCGGCTCTGGGGGTTCAAGTACCGATGTCGTGTCTGTAACCTTTACCACCTGGATCTCGATGAGGTCATTTGGGGGTGTGGCAGAGCGGCCACCATCAGGCACCAGGACCTGGAGAGCAGAAGAAGGAACAGAAGGCTTCTACTTACTAAAACTTTCCCCGGGGCTCTCGAGATCGCTCAGTGGGTAAAGACACTTGCCAAATCTAAGGAACTGAGTCCGATCCCTGGGACCCGCAGGGTGGAAAGGCAGAACTGACTCTCCCAGGTTGCCCTCTGACCTTCACATGCCTGTGCTATGGCACACATACACACCCTTTCCTCAAATACATAAATACATTAAAATTTTTAAATAAAATAGTTGCTCCTCTGAAGTCAACTGGATCCTTTTTTTATGATTTATTATTTACTTATTTTGAGACAAGATTTTCACTATCAATCACTAGCTGACTTGGTACTGGCTGTGTAGACCAGGCTGGTCTAGAACTCAGAGATCCACCTGCCTCTGCCTCCCAAATGCTGAGATTAAAGGCGTGCGCCACCAGGCCCGAGTTTCTCTTTTTATGTGTATGTGTGAGTGCCTGCATGTATGATGTGCACTACATCTGTGCAGTGCCTATGGAGTCCAGAAGTGAGGGTCAGTCAGATCTTCTAGAAGTGGAGTTACGACGGTTGTGAGCTTCCATAAGTGCGCTGGAAACTGAGCCTTTTAAAAGAGCAGCCAGTGTTCTTAACTGCGGAGCCTCTCCAGCCCCTGCCATTGGTCTTGAGCCTATTATCAACGATCCAGAAAGTCCTGCTGTATCCAGTTGGCATTTCCTCATCCCGTCCAAAATATAGCACAGACACAGACGTGCCCCTCTTTACAGTAGTTAAAAGCGCCTTATCATCCCTCACCAAAGGGAACCCCTGCCATTCATCACCCATCTCTCCAGAGCACCCGAATGGACTTTGGAAAACGTTTAATGAGAGCATGCCTTTCGCCACTCTGAGCCCTCCAACTGCACTGAAAACCCCGCGTCATCCCTATAATATCCACCACGACCTAGACCCCCCCCCGCTCTTCCCACTGACAGCAGTGTAAATATTAAGCCAGCCATCACCCAGCTGACTTCTGCCATCTAAATTTAGCTCGCCTCACCCCCACTCCATCAGTTTACTTAATTCCCTTTATAGAACTACTGCAATACTTTCTGTTTACTGTCACGCCTTCTCCTCACAAAGACAGCAAGCTGCAGGAGGCCGCGGTCCCTGTCCCTTTCGGTCCCCTGGACCCCAGGCGATGTTTACTGAACGAATCCGTATTTTCTGATTCACTTAACTCTTGAGGCACCAGTGAGAGGTCCCAAAGTCACCCCGAGACACCCATTTCTCCTCCCAAACCCTCGCTCGGGCATCCAGACGGCAGTCCTTGGGTCAGCCCTCACCTGCCATCCCAACGCGGTGGCGGGACCTTAACTAACAGCCCGTTGGGGTCACCTTCCCACCCACCCAGCCCGGCGATTTCCCCTACGGCCCGCTCCTCCTAAGACCCCACCCCTTTCTATGCAAATCGACTCCCGAGCGCTCCCTCAGGCCCCAGCCCTGCCCCGCGCGCACGCGCAGCCTGTCTCCAGGCCCCGCCCCCCGGCCCCCATAGGCTCCTCCCTAAGCCCCGCCCCCGCAGCGATACCTTGCCCCGCCCAGTCCCCCTAGGCCCCGCCCCCTGCCCTGCCCCGCGCCCTCCTTCGCCGTGGACGCCCGGCCCAGGCCCCTTCGTCGCCCGCACCAGGTCCGACGTCTCCGGGGATGGTGACTCCCGGGCCGGTGAGCTCGGGGTCGGGGCGTCCGGGCGCGCGGTGGCCATCTTGTAGCTAAACCCGGTCCCTGAGGCCGCGGACAGCTCCGCGAGGGGCGGGGCCCGCGCTGGCAGCGCCGCGCAAGCGCGCGGCAGGGCGGCGAGGGGCGGGGCCCCGCCTAGCGGGCAGATGGGCGGGGCCGGGGCGGGGCGGGGTGGAGCGGGGCGGGGCGGAAAGTCTTCTTTACCTGTCTGTCCTGCACGAGGACCGGGTGACTGAGCTCGTAGCTGGGAGATCGGCCCGCTCCTGGGGATGAATCCCGACGCCGTCCCCCTCCCCCTTTAAATTATGGTTTCCGCAGGTCCTCACTGTGTACACCGGGCTGGCCTCGAACTCACGGACATACTCTCGTCTCTGAGCCGCTGTGCTCGGCCATACAAGTTGAGTCCCATTCGAAAACTAACCCGAAGTTTGCTCATCTGAACCTCAAGGCGGGGTGGGGGGGGGTGGGGGGGGGAGAAGCCTTGTTTCTACAGGAAACGTTTTTGAGGTTACCTTCAGTTCATGGTGCAGGAGGCGGAGCGGCACAGTTTATGAATGGAAGGCTTTGGAAAAGTCCGTGTCCGAGAAGTAGACTTAAGCCGGGCGTTGGTGGCACACGCCTTTAGTCCCAGCCCTCGGGAGGCAGAGGCAGGTGGATCTCTGTGAGTTCGACGCCAGCCTGGTCTACAAAGCAACATACAGAGAAAACCCTGTCTCGAAAAATAGAAAGGAAGGAAGGAAGGAAGGACCGAAGGAAGAAAGAAAGAAAGGAAAGAAAAAATAGACTCAGTGAGCGGCAGGGCAGGTACTTCTGAAAGGGAGTAAGCCTTGCTAGTTGCTGTGATGTTTAGGAGAAAATAGGTCAAAAGGTTTTCGGCAGCACCAAGGACAGAGCTTTTTTCTGTGCTTTCAAGTCAGTCCTTTGTGACTTTGGATAAATGACAACATTTTTTTGTGGCTAACTCCTCCTCCTCGTTGCCCTCCTACTGATAAGGCTACCTACCCGTGAGAGCTGGCCTCAAACTTACATGTAGTCTGGGCTGGTCTTGAACTCTATTTTGATCTGTCTGCTTCTGCCTCCCTAGTGATGGGATTAAAGGAGTGCACCACCAAATGAGCCCCAGAACCTACAAGGAGGCTCACAACACTCTGTAATTGCCGCACCAGGGAATCTGACACCCTACAGGCCTCTACAGGCACACACACACACACACATGCGCACGCACACACGCACGCACGCGCACACACACGCACGCTCGCACACACGAATGCGTGCACACGCTTTAACATAAAATAAAATTTAAAAATGAGATAAAAACTAGGATGTACTGGCACAGAAAGTAAGGGTGCTTGTCACCAAGCCTCATGGCCTGAAATTCATCCCTGGGTCCCACATGGTATCAAGGAGGACTGGCTTGCAAGGCAAGTTGCCCTGTGCCTCTTGGCAACATGGGTGCCCCCCTGCACTAAATAAATGAGTAAACAAATACATGAATTCATTAAAAATGAGCCTGATTAAGCTGCAGATGCTATATAAAAATTAGAAAAACACATATATGGATAGTCACTACACGAGCCTTGAAACTTTTGTTTGACATTATTTGTTAATTTTTAAAATATTCACTTATTTTATCTTATGCATGTGTTTTGCCGGCATGTATGCCTGTGCATGGTGTGTATGCCTTGTGCCTGTGGAGGTCACATGAGGCTGTTACAGGTGACTGAGAGCCACCGTGTGGGTGCTTGCTGGGAATGGAACCCCACTCTTCTGGATGAGTGGCCAGTGCTCTTAAATGGCTGAGCCATCTCCTAAGCCCCCCTACTTAGATTTTTTTTTTTTAAAAAAAAATAAATTATTGGTGTCAGGGAGTCTGTAGACAATTTTCAAAATCTGACATACATACAGGCATAGATACAAGCAAAACACCTGTAGACATGAAATAAAATAGAATTGAAATAACATCAGATAATTGGGCATGGTAATGCACATTTTTATTCCCAGCACTCGGGCAGTAAGATCTCATTGAGTTTGTGGCCAACCTGGTCTACACAGTAAACTTCAAGAGAGCTAGGGAGTCCATTCCTCAAAAACAAAAGACATATTGAAGGTAGTGGTAGCATACTTTTTTTGCTTGTATTTTCTTTTCCTTTTCTTTTTTGGAACCTTCCAACCACAGCAAGACTGACAGGTTATGATCAGTGCTCACATTTTCCTATCTAATTACCCTAGTTTGTTCTTTCTGTCTGCCTGTGTGTTCCCCTCCCCCCCCCTCTCTCTCTCTCTGTGTGTGTGTGTGTGTGTGTGTGTGTCTTTCTGTCCTCTCTCCATGCTAGTGCCTTGCACATACTAGGCAAGCTCTCTACCATACAACTGCATTCCTAGCCTGCTACACTATTTCTACAGAGGACAGCTAGTGCTCTTAAACCTCCGAGCTTAAACCTCCAACAGCGTATTTTAAAACAGAAAAATACCGAGGTTCTGAGAATGGGGATCAAGTGCCCATGCAGTGCCTGGCTCATCTGATTACCGATGGCTAACTAGTTTCCAGTGTGTTCTTTCCTCATTCTGGCCTTGTTTTCCAGTCTCTAGAAGGAAGCAAGGAAATCTCTCTTGTTTGTACCTGGCGATACCGGAAAGAGGAAATTTCTCTGTGGGAAGTGACTTTGCTGGGGAAGGAAGAATTAATTTGATAGGGTGGGATGGGCCATTGCTAATAAGGGAATTTTATAGTCTTGGTTGTTTCCAGCCAGAGTGCCACAGACCACCCAGTGGGCTGTGACTGCGGGAGAATCAGGGTCCTAGGTACTCAGGTTGGGATGGACAGACAGACACAAACACAAGAGAGGCTTGTGAAATTGCTGCAAGTTTACTTCAGCTAGAGCATCAGATATATGTATATGATCTAGGAACTAAGATCTGACCCCATGCCAGGTTATACACAGCTACATCTTACGAGTGGTTACATGTTGACAATTTATCTTGAAACTAAAAGAGCAAAGCAGGAAGGACCCTCTGAATACCATCTGGCCTCCAGACAGTGGTTAAGATTCTCAGACCTGAGGTCAGTTTTATCATAGAATTCTGCCGAGCTGACTGACTCCTATGTAAAAATGTAGAAGATTGCAAAGCTTAATATTTTTATGGCCAGTCAGGCCAATTTTGTGTGCTGCTAAAAGTCTAGCTTGCATCTTAAGTTTTCTTCATACCATTCTCTACTCAAATGCCAGTGGCCATGCCAAGCACAGGATAAAAGATAATACTGAAAAAGACACCATGCAGAACCCATAACCCAGGAAGCCAAACTCTTCGGAGAACATCCGTAACTCTTTGGGAGTGCAGAACCGGGTACTCTGCCAGAGGCCTCCAGGGAGCTTAGCCCCAAGGGCCATGCATCTCTCATCCGGCGTCATGTATAAGTCATGTCACACAGACGACTCTGGAGTTGGTGTGGCACCTGAGCATTTTTTTTCCTAAGTGCCAGAATTCAAACCTTTTACTCATGGGTTGGCTTAAAGTTACAACCTTGAATATTTCTCGATCCTTGTCTGAAACAGTTTTTATGCTGTCTATTGCCTGGGTTTGGCAGCACCAGACATTTGGCCTATAAAATGGGTGTGACAGCAAAGGAGGATCTAACTTAAAGCGTCAGTTAAGAAGCTGTTAAGAGCTGGCGTGGCACCAGAGATAGTGCTACCATTAATCCCAGCAGCTGGGAGACACAGGCAGGTGGGTCTCTGAGTTTGAGGCCAGCCTGGTCTACAGAACGAGTTCCAGGACAGCCAGGGCTACCCAGAGAAACCCTGTCTCAAAAAACAACCCAACCCAACCCAAACAAACAGAAGCAGATGTGGACATGGCCCAGTAGGGTTGGATATGGAGATGTAAGTTGTGGATAGAAGGGTCAAGTGGAAGGCAAATGAGAGAAAGTGTGTGGGTAGAGGGCTAAAGAAATAAACCGCAGAGGGGCTGGAGATGGGTAGAAGATCCGTCTTGCAGGAACTGGAGATGAGTTGGGGCCTGAGGTCCCAGGACAAGAAGGATGCCTTGGATTGAGGGATGGGTGTATAAGATTTTCATTTCATCACATCCACACCAGTGTCCTCCTGGGCTATGAACCCCTGTCCCTCATGAAGCAGAAATGATTCTCTGTTACCACTCAGGGTAATGATATAAAACCATGTATAAAGCAAAACACCTTTTGCACACAGCATGCAACATGTGAGAACTAGTGCTGGTGTTATTTTTGCATTTTGAAGTCCTCTCTGAAATGCACTGTGGTAAAAGGGAACGGTGTCTATTAAGGGATGCAAGCATTTTGAACTGGGAGGAGATAAGAAGAGAAAGGGCCAAGTGGTCCAGTTCTAAGCTGATGTTGTTATGAAGACAATAAAATCATGAGCTTTTGCTCAGCTCAAAATAACAACAAAAGGGTTCCTGTGAGGGAGAGAGCATGGGAGATACTATGACCCACACAATAACTTAAGTTCTCAGTTTCTAGCACCCTCCACCCCCATTTCTCTGTGTAGTAGGCCTGGTTGTCCTGGAACTTGCTCTGCTGTAGACCAGGCTGGCTTTGAACTCACAGAGATCCATCTGCATCTGCCTCCCAAGTTCTGGGATTAAAGGCATGTACCCCCTCCTGCTCAGCGCTAACACCCATTTCTTAGCTTAGAATTTAACTTTCTCTTTGGGCTTCATCATCCTTTTCCAGTGTCTCAATGTTAAAAGACTTTTCTTTTTCCCCAACATTTTAAGGAGGATTTATTGATCTTATTTTGTGTGTGTATGTGTGTGTGTTTGTTATTTGTTTGTTTTGTTTTTCAAGACAGGGTTTCTCTGTGTAGCCCTGATTGTCCAGGAACTCAGAGATTCAGCTGCCTCTGCCACCTTAGTGCTGGGATTAAAGGCATGTGTGAGTGTTTTGCCTGGGTGTAGGTGTGTGTTCTAGGTGTGCGCCTGATGCCAGAGAAGGGCAGAGAGGGCATCATCTCCACCTCCAGGGACTGGAGTAACGCCTAGTTGAGAGCCACCATGTGGGTGATAGGAACAGAATCCAGGTCCTCTGCAAGAGCAACAAATGCCACCATGCCCTGCTAATA